TAACACCGACAATCAAGTCCAGATCAACACCAACAATCAAGTCCAGGTCAATCAACAGGCACCTGATTTAAAATACAAGTCTTTGATTTACTCCACAGCTCAAGCTCCATGCCCCAAAAGTTTGCGAGGACACGCAGAAGATGCAATTAAACAAATAGAGGGATACGTGCCACCTCCGCCGGTTCAGCAATTGGTTGATGAGGCCAAGGCTTCTCCCAATATCGCAGCCACTGACTGTAATCCACACTTCTGACAAAGTCATGTGGAAAGAAGCGTTTTGTTGTACTAGTCAAAAATCCTGATTCGAGTCTTCTGTGCTTAGTGTGCATCAAAAACAGCGAAATAGAGTAGCTGATCACCATCGATTACTCCTAGCTACCGGATTTTGTAAAAAAGAAAGATAATACATCAGCACTATCTGCGTTGTATGTCATTAACTACGCATTTCAAACATATTGTGATTGTCTACATCAGCGCTGCACTCCTGCCCATTTATCCATAATGTACTCACCAAAGCACCCGTCACGCTTACGTACTGTGCCATCCAGCAAATTATTAAAATACTTGCTGTCTTCACTAGCATTTCTTGCATCGCCTCCAATACGTAGTTTTGTTACATCAGTAATTGACGGTATCACTGCATCAAAGTCGGGATAGTAGAAAAACACAAGCGAATAACGTTCTTGATTATCAGCCACAACACGATGGACAGGCGATAGACATTTGCCATCTGTAATAAGCGACAAATAGTCTCCAGCATTGACTACGAGTGTTCCAGGTATATAAGGCACATCCACCCATTTGTCGTCATGATATATCTGCAAACCTCCCACTGCGTCTTGTAAAATGAGAGTAAGGAATCCCCAATCCGTGTGTGGACTTGAACCAATAAATTCTCGATCATTATCGAATGAAGAATGTCCCTCTATGCCTTGTTGAAAGTTTGCGTAATGCTCATATGGAAAGTAATGGAACATACGCATGAGAGAGATAGTCTCGCCATGCTGACAGTACTTGTCCAAGAAGCTTACGTTATCATAAAGACTTTTCGACAGACTTCGAGTTATAACACGTGACGCATCTGTCATTTTACGAAAAAACTCATTCAGTACATTACGATGGCTACAAGGCCAGTCCGTAAGTTTTGGCCAGACGTTTGGGCCTTGTAATCCATTGTCAAATTGTGGTATTTTCTCCTCAGGCCATTTATAGCCATAGGAAAACGCTTCTTTCACTTCTACACGCTCAGCACTGCCACTTTCTTTGCCCATGCCAATATATCCACGTGTGAATCCCTTGTTGTTATGCACAACTGGAATCGCATCTTTAATTTCATCTGACAGAGCGCAAAATGATGCAGCACTGTGCATTATCTGACTTGCCAGCATATCGGAGATACCATGATCTGTAAGATAACAACATCCAAAACGGGCAAAGGCATTGGCGAGCTTGTCACCCTGCTGTGGATCATCCAGCGAGATGACAGGAATTTCCGAGTCGCTCATTCGATTTAAATGAGATAAGTACGATTCGTCCTAGAAATCGGATAGGATGTGGTTTTCAAAGGACAAAGCACTACAAGTCTTTCGTCATCTTGTCGATTAAAGACCTAGGAGCTTGAGATTCTAAGCAGGATAGGTCAGCGCTAAATAGACCACGAGCGTAGGCACAAAGGATTATTTATTCGAAGGTTTAACATCAAACTGAACGCTCCTCACGATGGTAAATCAGCGTTTGTTCTTGTTGTAGTTACTTCAAATCGACGACTCTTGTAACTTACGCGATAGCTGCCCAATTTCATTGTTGATTTGGTCAGCACTACTTTCAATCCACTGAAGTGAGTTATGATGCACGTTTAGCACTTTCATAATCTGCACGATTGGGTTAGACTCGTCAGCCACCTCGTCTTGCGCCTTGTTCAGCCTCTCAACTATCTCCTTCAAGGTCGTTGTCATCGAATTGAGTTGACCATCAATGTCTACCGACAATTGCAGTGTCTGCTCGCGCTCAATGTCAGCAGCAACAGGCATCTGATCTTGTGACTCGTACATCTTGTCTACGCTATGTTCCAGTTGCTACGAAGCAATAGATCAATGTCAGTTTCACATTATGATCAATATCTGGCTCATTTATCTACTTAATACCTCAAGTGTTGATTTAAGCTCCATTTGATATGCAAAGATCGTGTCCAAATTCGTATCAAGCTCATTTTGAGCTACTTGGATACGTCGTACATCAATAGCAAGATCTCCAAGCTTTCGCTGACTATCCATCAAATCGCTATCCCATTTGCTCACTGTAAAAACCACACAAAAACATCAGCACAGCAATAATAAAAGGCATCATGTCGTACCTTTAACAGCTTCAGTGGTGAACGTATCGGTATTACGCTCGAGCTGTTCGCTCCATGCATTAATAATGTCCTGTTAAAGAACATGATTATTCCTCAGCTCGAACCACTGCTTTTCACCTTTACAATCGTACCTCAATCGTTCGACCCATATACTCAGCTGGAGGCTTCATTGTCCCCGTCACAGTTGTTGTAATAGCAGTAGAACTAGTCGCAGTTGAATCAGTACTACTGGAAGCCGCTGTGGACGGTCCGAATCCAAACGCTGGGGCTTTCGACGTCTCTGTCTTGCTCTCATCAGCTTTATCCGTCGATTTTGTTATATTTCCAAAACTAAATCCACTTGTTGGCGCACTTGTTGTGCTGGGTGCAGCATTTGAACCAAAAGAGAAACCTGTTGCCGCTGGTTTTGTCTCTGCAGGCTTTGAAATATCCGGTGCATTAAAATTAAATCCACTCGATGACGCTGGTGCTACCGCTTTATCTGGTGTAGTAATCGGTACAGAGCCAAAGCTGAAGCTTGACGTGGCTGGAGCACTTGTCTTAGCTTCTGTTGAAGTCGAAACTGCACCAAAATTAAAGCCCGAGGTGCTAGTGGATGGAGCCGTGGAAGTGCTAGTGGATGGAGCAGTAGAAGTGGTATCCGTGGATCCAAAATTAAAACCTGTCGATGGAGCACTAGTCTTGGCTTCAGCTGGAGCTGCAGGTGTTGAAAATGTCGACGCAAAGCTAAAAGACGTGGGAGGAGCTGCAGCTGTTGGTTTAGAGCCAAAGCTAAAGCCTGTAGACGGCGCGGTAGATGTGGTAGGAGCGTCGGAAGTCGAACCAAAAGAAAAGCCACCAGTACTTGGAGCTGTGGAAGACGTGGAGGTAGTGGAGGAGCTAGCGCCAAAGTTAAAGCCGCCCGATGGAGCAGTGGACGACGCACCAAAGTTGAACGACATGGTAAATGGTCAGTATTACTGAGATCACAGGGTGAAATATTAACAATAACGAGTGAAAATTAGAGCACGGAAATAGTCAATGCACGTCTATTTAGTATTACAATGTCTTTGGTAAATGAACAAGTCACATTCCCCAGGAAAATGTACATTGAACGAATATGTTTGGGGTGTCTGATAGATTGGCGGCCTCAATTCTTACAATTAAGGTGGCGGTCTGATAAATTGGGTCTTTGAATAGCAAGTAGCGGCCCCGAACATGGATTCGCACCCAATGTTGAGACTAAGCTTGCCAGGTGCTCTACAACAACTCGAAAGATCAATAATTGATGGCCGCAGGTTGGAGAGGCACTGGTGCTTTAGATGAAAGTCTGGCTTCTCAATCAAACTCACTTGTTGAATATCATTTCCTACTAATGGTTCTACTACAGAGTTGTCGTGCAACATGCACCAAAGAGTCTGTGGTTCGTAGAGTCCGCGCTAACAAACGACAAACGCAAAAAGAATGAGTTGAGGGACGCTTAATATTGCTCAAGCAGGAATGTGATATATCTAGATCTATCATATTTAGAATCTCAGCACTGCTATTGTTTCTGATACTAGACCACTCGTTTTCGATGATGCGTTTTATATCATCATCATTACAGATGGTAATATTGGTGCTAGTCTTTATTCTAAACATAATCAGAGTTTGATACAAGCAAGCGTGGGCATGGATCTCATTTAGCCATTCTAGGGACGGTCGGTGGATATCTTGTTTGTGCGTGGGTTCATGCTGACTTTTAGTGAGGAGGTCTTAACGATCACCATGAGCGGCCTGGGTCGGGAGGAGTCGTCCGTCGTCGAACTGACATCTTCTGCTCTAGGCTCTCTAATAGAGCATTTTTTAGTTTGAATACACCCCTACGCGCGCGCATATCGCTTCATGTCGCTGTGAAGCGTGACATTGCACGCCCTCAGGCCAAGCAGAGACAACAGTTTCTTAAGCCTGTCCTGCATGCCTTGGGGTAAATAGAAGTACTGCTTAATCTTCACAGATAACGACTCAGGTGTAGATTGGCTACAAGTGCTACTAAGTGCAGCGGGCTGTCGTAGCTCTTGCTTAGAGGAAGCTAAGCCAAGTTCACCGATCTTACGTTTTATACTATAAATGTTGCGGATTGCGATTCGCTAACTCCAAGAGTACCAACAACTTTAACCAAAGGCAAATACACTCTTCTTTTCAGAATATTAGCTGCATTTGTTGATTTATATGCACCATAACCACTTGTATCTAAACCTCTAGGATTCTCAAACTAGATAGTAAAATCTAATTAAAATGCATAACTACTGGCAGTCCTGCCAGGTAGTGACTTCTTGTTAAGGTGAAGCCACACCACTGTGTGGTCACAACATCTTGTGTGACCGACCCCTTTATACCAGGGTACGTGTAACTCCGTTACAGAAGGTTTATGATACAGAGGTACTTGTGATACAATATGGTCTTGTAAACAGCAGGATACACACGCTAGGCTCGAAACGATTTGAGCGTTAAACTCATGATCCATGGCGACATCGTCATTGCATCTCGTGCTTAGAATGACAAGATGTTTTACTTTTTTTGCCAAGTCCATCCTCGAGATAAGGTTAAGCTGAATCGGCTTAATGTGGTGTTAGTGTCGCTTTCGTGTCACCGCGACTATAAAAGTTGCAATTTGCGATAGTGAGGCCATCGTTTGCGCAATTGAACTTTTATTTAAAGTGGAGATACGTATCCAAATCATCGCGCCATTCGAAGGAAGATAGGGGAAAGGGTAGCTTCTTAACGAGGGTGAACGTCTCAAATATATCGAGAAGATGAATTTGTCAGCCGGCAAGAAGCCTTCCATGTTGGCCTAGCGATAGTATGGTGTCACTGACATACGTAATAGAAAAAAAATAAAATTTTGAGCACCGAACATGGAAGTCACAAGTAAAGAGAACGTCTTTTGGATCAGGAAACCACAATACACAGGTTTTAAAGATAAGCTTTATGAGCCCATCGAAGGTTACCGAAGGCCTTCTCTCAGGCTGTTACTCACAATGACGATGACTTTAGTAGAACAAATGATGGCTGATTGCGGGACAGTCGTAGCGAGTTGAATCTGAAACCGGAGCTTCGTGAAATTAGGAACTGAAATCTAGTTTTTCACGGTAAAGGCGGTACTGTCAATGAGAACAGTTTTAAACTTGAAAAACATTTAAAAACAAGAGGTGGATACGCAAGAAATATGACATTTGTAACGGGGTTACTCATACCCTGGTAACAGGGATGTGTGTCACACCAGATGGGATTGTGTGATCACACCCAAACAAGAAAAAATTACGGTACGGGGCTGGATAGCCAGTAGTTATACATGTATTTAGATTTCACATTACATATTTAAGATAATATATGCATTTGAAATTAGGCGGCTTTGCCGCAGATAAAAATAAATAAAGTCAGTTTTGAGTTCAAACGGAAGAGTGAATTAGCCTTGGGTTAAGGTTGTAATTACTCTTGGAGTAAGCGGGTCGCGATCCGCTAAACTCGTACTTGTTCAAAGTATAGAACGAAAGGTCGGTGACCTAACT